AGGATGCAGTGATTAATATTCAGTCGATTTCAAAATCCTCAGGTACGCGTCTATGTGGACGGTTGGGGTGAATGGAGCGATCCGCTCTGGTACGAACTAGGTCGCGGAATTGTAAGTTTGCACTGAATCTCTTGATCACGTTAATGTCGTCGGTAATTTCAGGTGCAGCAACATAAAGGATCGGAAACAACTTTCCTGGGAGCCCTTCCCGGCTGGGTAGTACTGACGGCGATGATGCTTTTCGTCATTGTTCTTGGATTTCTCATCGTATTATGTCGTCGAAAGCCACACAATCGAAAACAAATGAGCGATCTGGACGTGTTGGATACATATAAGCAGGGTTGGTAGTTATCTGCATATACATATCCTTGATAGTCATTCTCAAGATTGAAAATCGTTCGCTTGCTTCGTGTCTGCTCTGCTTCATCAGAAGCATGTTAAGATCTTGTGTTTTTATGCGCACGCTGTTATTAGCGCTTTCGTATGGTGTTGACCCGTGCATATATTCTTACAGACACGATGACACCTGACTACAGTTCTAATAACCGTCAATTCACCGACGCCTTTCGGAGTGGAAAACGTAAGTCGTCAGCTTGAGCTTATGTGGTTGTAGTGTTTTACCACAATACGTCACACCTTTGCTTCGTAATTGCCTTGCATGCATTAGAAGCATCGCTTCCCTCCAAATAGCTCTCCTTGCAAGGACTGACATTTTCTTACAGTTAATGCTCCTTTGATACCATCCTATGGAGGAAGCTCCGTTTCTCAACCTCCTCCTTATTATGGTAGTGGTGTGACGGGCACGACAATGGCATTCAAACCGTACGTGGATCCTACTGCCTACGAAGATCCAAACCAGGTGATTAATTTGATGCAGAAGCATTGCGAAATTATAAAATGGCCAAAGTGAAATTATATTACAGGCGCTTGTAGAGTTCACGTTTGACATTGATCCCGCTGCAGTATTTATCACTGAGGTGATAGGAGGTGGAGAATTTGGTGATGTTTGCAAAGGAGGCTTGAAAAGGAATTTGATAAGTGGCGGGATTGCCAACAGTATCTTTGACAACGAAGTGAGTATCATGTGTCTACAGGGGATCCCAGTCTACGTGTCAAGGTCGTTCCGCGCGGCTCTGGTCCGCGAGCCGCCTCGCTAGC